AAGATTGACCGCACCAGTGAAGATATATTAATTCTTTGTTTTTCCTTTGAAAACAGTATAATTGTCCATTGTTCGCTATTCATTTTGCGTCATTTACATGTTTCTAGATTTCAACCACTGTCGGTATTATCATTTTTTCTTCCATACTTTTCTCGTTATTGTCTTCTCCTTATGCTAATGTGAAGTGTGGGAAGTTCAACTATTGAGAACTTTTATAAAGTCCTACTTTACTTTTATTTTTCTTTATCCAATTTTGTTTGAATGTACATTGTCCTCTGAATATGTTGTGTTCTAAAATTTCGATGTTAGTTGTCTTTCAGTATGTGTACCATACGTTATGTTGATTTTTAATATGCATGCAGTTATCTTACGATTATTATTGTTGTATCTCACAGGTTGTGTCTGTTTGACAGTTTCATCAAATGGGAAAGTATCCGTCATTGATCTACCTTACGTTTCCGGAGAATGGTATTGGAAACTGCGTTTCTTTTATCCAGTCAGTAAAAGCGTGAGCATCTGTTTTTTAAAATGATACCATCAAAATTATTTTATTGTAAATGTAGGTGGATGAAATGTTGGTGAACTACAGAACTATACGTTTATTCCGAAGACAACCTCATCTAATGTACATACAAATGAAACTATAAAATCAGATAACCAACTGATTAGTATTAATTTGGTTATGTCCACAGAAGGTTCCAAACTACAGAAATGTGTTTTGTTGTTAACAGTAGAGCAGGATGAGGAATACTTTGCATGGACAAATATGACATTAATATATCAGTTTGCTGAACCTTTATCCACTTTATCACAATCTGAATTACCTACTACTGAAGCCAAAAGTATGTATGGAACAGTTAAATTGAACATAACGTCTACTTAACCGATTCCTTTACTTTCTACAAATATAGTTTCCACTTTGTCTGATCAAAAATTTTTAACTCGTACTGATGAAGTGTATGTGTGTGATACAGAAATACCAATTAAATTTGGTCACAATGTTGAGATTGTCTTTAATTCAATGACATTTCAAGCATTTAAAGCTGAAGAAACAATTAGACCAGATCGTAAGGATACCGTTATTCTTGTTATACGTCATTCAATTATATTCTAATCTTTTCTAGGTTTACGAGAAGTTTGTCCACGTGACTTCAAGAGTAACATACCAATTACAGCGTTGACTGGCGTTTCATTGCTTGTTGTGGTTGTACTTATTGTTTCAGTATTTGGAATAAATGCTTATTTGGCTCATCGTAAACGGAAGCAGCACTAAACGAATTTGTTTTATTTATTGTACATGAGTAACTAATCTAAGTAAATATGGGCTTATTGTATCGTCTACAGAATCCTTATCAGGTTCACTGCTTTTCAAACATTGAGCTTTTATGCACGTTGTCTACAGTTATGCTGTTGAGCTTCACTGTTGTTAATAAATTTATTGTATGCGATGCTCTTTATTTGTGATTAGCAGTTTTAGTTCTTAATTTAAAAAAAATAAATTATATATTCATTATTTGTTAATTTTTCTTGCTTTGGTGCATGTACATGATCTTCAATGTTTATTGTACATTAATTTGTTGTAACAAAAGTGAAATATCTTTAGTGTTCCATTATTTTTACTATATATATATATATATAATTTAAAAAGTAAAAGATATAAGATGAAGTAAATGAATGACTATGAAGAGTATCAAATATTTTTATGGATTAATACTTTTGATTTTTTTTATTTTGTTCAACTACGAAAAATCAAACTTCTGTCAAGTTTCATATTTATATCCATGTGAATTATTATTGTTAAAGTTGTTGGTATCTATGTGATTGTAAACTTGTAATAAACTTGTTAAATTAATTATATTACAGTAATATTATTTATGAAAATAATAATTCAATAAATATTCGATTTTTAAAAAAAAGTTGTATAGTCTACTAAATGTTCAGTGGTTGTGCTTCGAATTACTATCAAAGAGCATTGTATTACACTGGCCAATATAAACTAACATTTATAGACCTTTAAACGAATGCACATAAATATTATTGTTTTTTTTGTGATAATTTTGTCAGTGTTAGTATTCTTTTTTGTTATTTTTGCTTATCAATGATTACAGAATGATAATTCATCGTTATTAACTTCCTTTCTTCTAACATAATGTCTGTTCGAGCCTAATACTGCATAGATGGCTTATGGGCTAAAATAGTTCAATTTTACCCAATAATTCTCAAGTTCGAACCCTACTCCTTCTTTTTTAACTTTACCAAGCGAGTAATGTCACAGGCGGTCATAAAAGTGGTATGGTTCAAAAGGGATTACATATTCTCGGTAGAAAAATTACTTTTCAGTGCATTATTCTCATGGAGTGTAGGACTTTTGAGGTTATCTATTTTCATTTCACTTGAATATATTGCAGTACGCGGACTATCATTTAACGAAAAAGACACTTACTCTGTTGAGTATTAAGAAATAAAAAATATTTTCTTGGAAAATATCGCCGACTAATTATCAGTGTCTTTATGAGCTACAAAGTTTGTTCACCATTGAGAATAATAATTCGATATTTGGTTTATTCTATGTATTGGTAGAAATACGAAATCTTATATTTGATTAATGTGAAGTTTCAGACAGTTTCATTTCATATAACAAATTTCCTTGAAGATATCTGTGAACATAACTAAAACAATTGGTGTTTCATTGTCATCTGGAGGAGATTAATTTACAAAGGGAACCTAGTTAAATTTATATATTTTATAAATGTTTAATCAAGTTACTGGTTATATGATATATGTGTGATTAACAGAAGAACTTGACAGATTATAATGCTCTGTCTACACATGTGTCAGTGATAGACTTATGAAATTGGATCCAAATTTGAATGCAAATGTTTTGTTCGACTGTTATTTTCAGCACGCAAAAAAAATTCAAGGTTTAAAAGTTTTAGTTTTACCATATTGTTATAAACTGAGTTAGTATAAAATTACTGGCATAATGCTCATTTTTATCCTGAATTTTTTCGTTTTAATAATCCATTGTCATATCTGAAAGTAGTCTTTTTAATTAAAAAAAAATTAGGTATAAGATGGTAAGTATATTTGGAACTTTAAGATAATAGACAGTTGTTGTGTGTAGTGTATCATTATTACCATAATATAGTTATGAATGTTAAAATGTGGCTGATTAAATCAGTGATTTCTAATTTTCATTGAAAAGTCGTTAAAATAAAATGGTTTCACTTTATTTTTTTGTTACGGTTTTTTGTTAATGATGGTTTACAAAGTTAATAACCTAAATAATAAAGGGTTTTGATGATAGTTCCGTATTTATTTTAAACCATTTTAGGTGATCTTTACCGTCTATTGCTTCAGTCTAACTGTTCAAATGAAAAAATCAGCATCTTGAATTCATGTATCATTTAGCCAGGTCCTAAATAGTTTTTTTGTTTATCGTTATGTCACTTCATTGAAAATTAGGTTTGGACAAAAATTTTCCACATCAGAATTTTTTGCTTTATCAACTTTTTATCAAACAGTGCTTCCAGGTTTTCCATGGTGGTCTAGCTTTAATTGACTCATGAACTCAACTATTAAGTAGTTTTCTCACTATACTGAAGTGAACTATGTATCAGTTAAGGTAATTCATTAACGGATTCGATTCGATAACATAATTTCCGATTTGTTTCAACTATAGTATAAAATGAATAACTAGCGTTACTCATAGTTATTTACGACTTATTGAGATTAAGCTGAAGTTTTCAGGTGTTAATTGTTAGTGAATATGTGAAAATCAGTTGGATTTGTATATTTTTGGTCACCGACTGATATTATTTACGTTATCATAAGAAACATTGCAATCACCATAATATATTACGAACTAATTGGAGTTGGATATATGGAATATCATATCTGACTTCTTAGTGTAAAGATGATCCACTCGTCTTAAGGTCTGAATGTTCTTAGGTTCGTTAGCATACACTGTGGTGATTCGTCTGTCTAGAGGTGCCTCATTTCCTTTATTTTTCTGGTATATATCAGTTCATGACAAATCTATCTTCGAGATAATTTTTAGCCTAAATATCCATACTTGCTTTAACTATATAAAAATCCTCAGTGTAACAGACTGAACTTTATGTATTATAATATTTGATATTTTGGCATTATTTATGAGATAAATCAGCCAACAAATGAGGTATAATTATTCTTTAATCAAAATTAAGTATTTTTAGCCATTGCAGTAATTTGGATGTTTATAGATGAATCTTGTTATTTTCATTTGATGAAGACTATAACTTTTGTCTTATTTGTATTTACTTAACATTTTATGGTGGGTATTTTTGGATAAGAATCTAATGAGAACTTTTTATATGTTGTATACACAAGAGTTTTTTTTACTCTTAATTGACTTTTGAGTAGTCTGTAATTTTCTGTGGCTAAAAACATAACTGATGATATCAATATTTAGTGTTTGTAATCGGTCTACTTCAATTAAACCACACTTATGTTATAACACTTATCTTCGACTTAATATGAATTTATCATTTACTTGATATTTAAACAAGAGTTACTTATTCTGATTGAGGTTGAGTTTCATTAAGCACGTAGACTATTCTGAAAACGTTCGATATTAGGTTGGAAAAGTGCTTCAATCAAATTTGCCAATTCGAAAATTTGCTTGTCTATGGATAGTAGATATTTCAAATTTACTTCCCTTCACTTAGAGTTAGCTTTGGAATGCTCGTTCGAACAGTAATTAGCCTTTAGTGCATATATTGATTTCCTCACGCGGACAATTTCTTGGGATTTTATCACACTGGGTCACATAATCTAGAAGCTATTCATGGAGAAGAATTGTTTCTATCACCATATTTTGATGAATACACGCACAATGATTAGTGTCACGTTAGTAATGTTCAGTCGTAATCGAGAGAAAGCCTAATGGCAATGAATTCGAAGAATAAGCAATATATTGTTTAAACTTTTTATAAATGGTTTATTTTTTACTTACTCAGTTAAATCAACACTTCAGTATCAACAGGAGTTGAAGAACAATCAACAAAATACTGCAAAAGACTCAGACTCTTTTAATTCAGTTAATGTAACTGAGTGTATTGAATTGAAGGATGCTAATTTGAACATCAATAATCAACAAAGTGGAACAATGAATTCAAGTTCAAGAAATTCACATTTACCACCATTAAATAGAATTACCGTTATCTCTCAAGATGACTTTCATCAGTTATGTGCTCTTCTGGAATTTCGCGGTTATTTTCTTATTACATATACAAACAATCGTTCGAAAGAGGTAAGTTTTATTTTTTATAGCTTAACTGAAAATTATTTAAAGTATAGTTTCATGCGTATTTAGTTTTACCGTGTTCAAGGTTTCTGTTATTCTGTACTTCTATGTTTATTCTGAAAATATGGCGCTTGTAATTTAAAAATCATATTTCATTTCCACTTACGAATCATGACCATTAACTTCAAATTTAAAGAAGGTATGTATGTGATATATGGTAACGAATTTAAGATGTGATTGGTCACTGAACGTGAACACATAGGCTCAAAATGAAACAAGACGAAGCATAGTGACGTTAACTTGATAGAAGAAAGAAAACACTCAACTGACATCAGAAGAACAAAAAGCCCCAAAGAAATAAAAACTAGAGATATTGTCATAGTTCCAGCGGACAAACGACTCACTGCAGTAATTATGGACAAAGAAGGATGTATCAGGAAAGCCGGAGGTTTGCTTGAGGATAAAATGTGTATAAATTAATGAACATAAATCCAATCAAAAGGTTAGACAACCAAATTTCAAGGACATAAACAAGCTTATAAAAAGATGACAAATATAATTCAAGATCAATGGAAAATAAAATCCAGTAAAGCAGTACTCTCTCGATTCTACGGTAGTTCGAAAATACATATCCAAACATTTTACTATGTCCAACTGTATCACTCCCATACAACATACAATTTATCAAGAGAAATTTAAAGAATATTGAAGCATTTAGTGGATTCATTCAATCAATCCATCAAATCTATCATGCAGTTCTTGTATAAGGTTAAGGAGATTCAAATCAACAACGATGATTTTATGATATCCCTCAATGCAATAGCCCTATTCATTTCAATTAAACCAAACTTAGGAAAAGAAATTTGATCCCTGCTCCTTAACAAAGACGCATATCTTCCAAAGTACACAAAGCTTCAAAGTCAAAGTTTACTAGAACTCATCGATTTATGCCTAACAACATACTATCAATTCAACAACAAAATCTACGAACAAACGAAAGGAACACCGTGGAATCATCAGTATCAGGACTTATTGCGGGAGCAGCAATGCAGAGACTTAAAGCCTCGATCTAACCAGTGATCAAGCCGAAATGCCGATTCTTTATGTGGTCGACGCATCATCATCAAAAAGACGAAATGTAAAACACTAACAATCTGATCTGAGCAACAACCCAAGAACTCACAAAATGGTTTGTGTACAACACTTATTCAGGAGGTTGGGAATACACTGCAGCACACCTGGAGTGCGGGAAAATAAAGAAAAGTATCTAGTGACTATCTTTCAAAAGAACACCTACCCATTCGAATTCACCAAAAAGTATCAACTCAACTCGTCATCAGAAACGAAGTCAAGTACAGAAAACAACCAATGGATCATCCTATCATATATAAAAGGTATGTCAGAAATTAAGAGATAATTAAAGCCGTTAGGTATAGGTGTAGCAAACAACCAGCGAAATCACTTCAAACAATTCTATGTAAAACAAAGGATGGTATGATAAAAGAAGAAAAACCGAACATCACCTATAAAATAAACTGTTACGACTAAGAAAAATACTATATTCGATAAATTGGGCGCCACTTCATCTTCTCCTGCACTAACATTTTTAGCGGTCAAAAGCCGTGACATATCTTCCCTCATATCAATGCGTGTAAGCAACTACGGACACGCTTTTGACTGGGAAAATGTTGAGATATTAGATAGAGGGAATACCGAAAGCATCAGGGAATTTTTAGAAGCTTGGTACTTAGGTGAATCAACAAACACATTGGAATCGACCCAATCTATCAATCAATCAAAAAACATGCACAGGTATAGTACTAAGAATCAAATCAAAGGGAGATACAATCAAAATAATGTTAGGCAATGATAGGTTATAGGTCAACAATAACCAATGAACATCGATGTTGACAGGACAAGCTGTGAGTCAGATGTGGAGAAATTCAAACACTTTACTTCTACTTGATGTTTGTGCTGATGATATTGTTCAGAAGAGCAATGAAAGCTCACCAACCAAACCATCCAGCTCAGATAACAAAACTACCTAACGCACATCCTACGGACTATTAAATATGTGATTTCCTTTCCTCTCATTAGTTTCTACTCTGGACTTACTGGGTGTAACTGTTTGTGATTTTGTTGGATAAAGTATTACCTAGTGTTAATCTGGTCCTCTATTCTGGCCATGAATCATGGATCTAATATAGCGTGACTAGTCTCTCTATCACCGGAGTCAGATAAGGCTGTCTACTCTCCCCCTTCCTCTTTCTTTTGGTGGTTGACTGGATTATGAAGACCTCCGCATCTGAGGGAAAGCACGGAATAAAATGGGCTGTTCAGAACCAATTAGACGATTTGGACTTCGCAGATGAACTAGCCCTCCCATCCCATACATACGAACAAAGTCAGATAAAGACAATTAGTGTAGCAGCAGCCTCTGCATCAATAGGCCTCAAAATACACAAAGGAAAAAGCAAGATACTCAAATATAACACAAGGAACACCAACTTAATCACACTTAATGGCGAAACTCTGGAAGATGTGAAATCCTTCACATACCTGGGAAGCATCATCGATGAACGTGGAGGATGCGATACAGACGTAAAAGCGAGGATTGGCAAAGCAAGGGACGCATTCCTACAATTAAAGAACATATGGAACTCAAAAAACTTTAAACCAATAAAAAATCAAAACCTTCAGTACGAACGTCAAGACAGTTCGAGTGTAATGAGCTGAAACTTTGAGAACTACCACAACCATCATCAAGACAGTACAAGTATTTATAAATAATTGTCTGCGCAAGATACTCAACATCCATTGGGCGGATATCGTTAGCAACAGCCTTCTGTGGGAAATAACAAACCAGCTGAAGAGGAAATTAGGAAAAAACGTTGAAAGTAGATAGGACAAACATTGAGGAAACCACCAAACTGCATCAAGAGACAAGCAGTAACTTGGAATCCTGAAGGGAATTGGAAAAGAGGAAGGCCGAAAAACACATTACGTCGGGAAATAGAAGTAGATATGTAAAGGATGAATAACAACTGGCAAGAGTTGGAAAAGATTGCTCAGGGCAGGGTTCGATGGAGAGTGCTGGTGGGCGGCTCATGCTCCTCCACGAGGAGTAACAGGCGTAAGTAAGTAAGTTTCACTATCATATTAACATATTATCGCTGTATACCTATGTTCCAGAGATCCAGAAAATTCCTCGAAAAAAGTCAAAAAGGTTCTGAAGACTCTGAGAAACATCTTATCAAATCAATATCCAATAGAAGTTTTGCCAGAAACATCTAGAAAGTGACAAGTCACATTTCGCGTTTCTGATTTGATGATTAGCTATGCTGTTACTATGTTTAGTAGTGTTCCAGAAATTTCCGAAAGCCCAAGACCATTTAACATACTATAGATACCCTGAATTTTCTGTACACAAACGAATTTCGGAGTGAAGCGTTCTTTCTATATTTCGCGCCTTTTCTCTCGTGTTCAAGTTGCTGTGTAGATTAGCCTGAGGGGGATACTAGAGAACTTAGGAAACAGAATCTGGAGTTCAGTTAGAAGAATTACCAACCTGAGAGAGAAAAATATATTTCAAACCATCCGTTATGTAAACATTAACTTAACCTTTACATAATATAAAGATCCATTATTATGTTTTTTAGTCAACATTTCTTCTATGATTTCAGAACCACTTAATAATTCTTATGGTGATGATTATTGTTACATTTGCCACTTATTGTGTCTGAGATATGTTTATTTAACTTGTGCTTGTCACTGAAACCCACCGAATCCGATGCTGCGTAGTGGAAACACAAAGAACTGCTAATACGGATTTATTTGACTTCCAAAATAAGTCAAAATGATCTATGAATACACCACTTTTTAGATGATGTATTTACATTTATATTAACAGTACTGATCTGAGCAGTACTTAACGCCAATTAATCAATAACTAACTGGGTGAACACTTTTACAATATCATACAATTAAGCATATATCATTATCGCATAACTAAGTCAAATCATCACTCCTCGAAACGTGATTACATGTTATGGACAATTATCCGCAAATAATTTCACACCGCATTCACGCTCCAATCATTGCTCGCTATGCCAGTTATATGACTGAATAAATATTTCCACAGTAGAAATCACAAGTTGATCTACGCTAGAACACCACCCTGAACACAGGACTTGAACCCAGGGCCTTCGGTTCCGCGTGCGGATACCAATGAGCTGGCATCTAACGGTGTTAATATCTAACTTCAATTGATGAATGATCTTGTGCAACCCGTCATTCATTGTGCGAGATCGTGGGAATTCACCGCTGACGAGTTCCATACTAGAACGAAATGGTCGTTCAATGTTTCCAGATTTTCAGTGGTGATTTAGCTTAGACAGACTCATGAATTCTACTTCGGTCTACTATAATCTCCACAAATCCCCCTTATTGGGAATAAATATTTAACAGTGAAATGTTTTTTCCACCTTTAACAATGACCCAATCGATTTCTCATGCTAGATTCTGTAACTGGAGGAAATAAAGTTTGCTGCTCAACGATTTGTAGTAGTTAATTATCTAACGGAGGCAGTAAAGTTACCAGTATTATAATTCCCTGTTATTTCACGTACTAGTTGCTACACTTATAATGAATATGAAAAGTTTCATATCGCCTTCCATGTATCCACTTTTGAGGGAAACGTAGAGGTTGTTTATTTAATTTGACACTATCTAATTACTGTAAAGTTGTAGTAAAATAGAAACAAGTGATTGATTGTAGGTTATGTCAGAGTTATGAATTTTGATAAGTGAAAATTTTAGCCTGCATGTGAAGCCAAGGGCGGAAGATTTCATTTGTTTATGGTATGTTTTGGTCTAACTTCATTAAAACAATATTCATCTTACTGATTTACCAGAATCATTTCAAATTTTACACTGAACAGTAAGCATTGAATAGTTGAAATAAAATGTCAACTATATTTATACTTTATTTGAAAAACAGTTTTTATTGACCTGGCTTTTTACATTGACTTTAGTACATAATTTTTATGAACTGAACAACGTAGCTAGTGGTGGTTTTTATTCAGTTTCATGCTAAAAAATATCAGTATTTCACACTCGATGCACTTTTTGTTTGACACTAATATCCATTCTCTTTTTTAAAAACTAATTATAGTGTTACCACGAAATATTTGACTTTTGGTTTAAAATGTTTTAGACAACCTGTTATCGAATTCCTATCGATTTGACAGAGAAATATTCTTCGAAAGATGAGATTTCTTACATTTTGGATAAATCTTTTTTGATGAATCATAACAACACAAACAGCAATATATCGGATAATAACAGTAATAACAAATCAAAAATACCATATGTTGAGCCAGATAATTTGATAATAGTAACAACGAATTCATCATGCTGTGACAGTTTTCTTCGATGTTTCTCTCTTCCACTCAATTCTAGTGGAAATGTGAACAGTTTGATAAGAGATTGGACAATTGATTTTTACTGGAACCGTACACCAGAAATGTACGAGTTTGGTGAAGAGGGTTGGAGTAGTGTTGGTTCACCTGTTGGCGCATTATCAGGTGTTTATGATCTGGTTGATGTGAAACTAAAGTACCGTTTTGATAGAAATTCTGGATTTGACTTTCTAATAAGTGGAAATGGTATGTTTAGAGGTTACTTCATTTTATTAAACTATACTATTCTTTGCAATGAAGAGGTTTACGTTTTGTTTTGCTTAAATTCACCTTAAGAAAACAGTCGTCAAATATACGCCTTTTAGTTGTGAGTGGTTGTTAGTTATTGGAAGAGTCTTGAGGCTCGAATTCCTTCTTCTTGGTCATCATTAGCAAGTCATACCAACGATCGTTTACTCCCTTAGTGGATACAAGCCTACATCACATAGTAGTGCAGTAACAAATCCCATGATCAGTCTGCTTGAAACATGTTACAACTCCGGTAAAACTAAAATATATATGCTAATCGGTTGTTGATCGGCAACCGATCCAGCGATATCTGGTCTATAACTGCTCTAGAATGGTACATTGATAATTAACGATTATTGGAACTATTGGTGATTAGCAGTTAGTATGTTATTTCTCTTAAATGCATCTGATTTGTTGGAAGAGAGCCAATTTCTTCGTACCAGATCCTTGAATTCTGTGATGCTGAAATCTAAGGTGAAAATATCTGTTGTTCCATCGCGTCTATACTAACTTACGTAATTAATAATTTGAATTTTATATAAGATAATCGATAATTACATTTTTTATTAAACAGTTTCTGGTTCTCTATTGTAGCTGAATTTATTTTGTAGGTGCTACCATGTGATCACGTTTTGTAAATAAGATAATAATAATTTATTAACTTATTTTCATTCTGCATGCTTTTGTTGTTGTTTTTTCACCTCTGTGTATATAAAAATACCGTTTCTACTCTCAAAAAAATATTTTTAAAGTAGAAGCATCATTGATAATGATGATAACGAAACAAAAAAATCGACTTGAAGATTCCATGAAGTAATTGTTTATGTTTCGTCTTAACGTTTATTTAATTTCTTCAAATGTTTCGAAACCAAATAACTATCTTATTACTCTGAGTCATGAAATTAAAGTTTTAGCGTTGTTATTAAATAGCAAAAGCAACTGGTAACAGCAAGTAAAAGGAGGAAATTTCATTCCAGTCACTATTAAATCGGACTTAATAAGTAGACATTGTTATATGCATATTGTACTTCGAAATTGCTTGAAGTGACTAACTCTTTGACATTTGTAGATAGACGAGTCCAAATTTAATGATTCTCTTCATTGAAAAACTGAATGTATTTTGCAGACAAACACTATATAAAATGCACAGGCCTTAGTTTTGAAAACAGTATTTTCAAACTACGTTTTTTCACATCAGCGGTTAAAAATGAAATTTCTCTATCATTTATAGATGGTCCAGGTGAACAAAAGAATGTTTTGTCAAATTTAAAAAAAAAAGTGATATTTATACAATAATACCACTAATTCTGAATTTTCAGATAAATCTTCTAATGAGCAAAATGGAATGTTTTGAACGAAATCCACTATATAAAATAACAACCAGAAAGTTTAACAAAATAATATTCACTTTCTTTCAACTTTATAAAAATCACAGTTGTCTTAGTTTCAATTTTGTGTCTTAAATAATTTGATTATAATAATTGAAATGAATAGAGATTGAAGGTGGTTAGCAGTAGTATTCAGGACGCTCGTTAGATTCTACTTAGAACTTTTCGGTTGAATGTGCCTGCATCCGAGTTCAATCACTTTGAATACCATCACACTACCTAATTAGCTACTGGAATCAGTAGCCGGTTCGAGTCCCAGAGTGAACATTAACTCTGAGATTCAGGTAAGCACAGTTGACCAGTCTGAATAGAACGAAACATCCATCCTGAATTCCACTACTTAAAATTGCTTGTGACTTATTGGTAATACTGAGATAGTATGCATATATGCCAAAAGAAACTGATCAATCATAGTCGTAAATATCAATGAGAAGATTTAACCAACCATTAGATATAAGTTAAATAATATCTAGTTTTTTCTTTTATTCAATTACATTTTCGTATATCAAAATGAAGAGTTTGTCTAATAAAATTTTTACTTTAGCCTTAAATTAGAATGAAAAGCTTACAGATCATGTTCACAGATAATTGAATAAATTAATCAGTAGATATTTGTGTGAAGAGATTTATTTTATTTAAAAATTATCGGTCAATTCAAATGTTGTGTAATAAGTGGATCCATAAACTGATTTATATTTTTCATTGTTTATCATTAAAATTATTTTATAATAACCTACACACATAATTCAATAGTTGGTTTAATTGAATGAATATTCATTAAAAAAAAACCCAGTATGAATGAAAAAAAAATAATTAAAAATTAAACAGTTTCTCATTCATAGTCCATATATATCAAATGTATTTTATGATAATTATTCATAAATCATGCAAAAATCAAATGATTAAAACTAAAAATAATAATAATTATTATTATTTAATTAAATAGTGGAAAAATGAAATAGGGGGTTATGGAAATTTAAAATTCCTGTGACAGTCATAAAACTTGAAGCTTTCCTTCTTAACGTACACGTATCAGGCTTGTATCTGTCGATAATGAGGGCTCTGACAAAATGCATTGGTTATTACGAACCGTCTAACAATGTCAATAGTATATGCTCAGTAGTTAATAATCTGAAATAAGTTACTAGCAAAAGTGCAATAGTTATTTACTTATGTTGTTAGAAGCTTTGATCTCCTAGATATTGATTTATTAGTATGGAATAAAACATGGTATTCCAAATTAGGATGAAATTTCAATCATTTAATTTTTTTCGTTTAAAGTTTATCAGTTGAAACTCGAATAAAAAATAAGCAGCTGATGAGAACCTGACGAAATAAAATATTGAATAAGTATAATTTTTGCAGCTCATTCAAAATCTATTAAAGTCGATTATTATTTACATCATAAGCAAATGTTAAATACAATCAAGTGAAAAGAAAAAAACATAATGAAATTATTGTCTATCTGTGATGATGAGACTTTAATTTATGGACGACCTTTAAGGCACGCCAAAGTGACCTTGAGAGTATCCATCTAGTAACTAAGACCAAATGAGGGTTCTAAGCCAATGTTAGGAATTTGAATAATGATTTACAGTCAATGGTTAATGTTAGGAATTAGATTTAGTGTTTTTATCACGAACTGACATCAGCAATAATGTCAAAATCTATTTAGCCAAATGGATAAGTAGATGTTACGCCCAAATCCTAGACCTGTTATCTTATATCTAATTGATTCGTCCATAAATTATAGTCTCATCAAATGTATAATAGTAATGTGTTCTATTATGTAACCTGGTAATTTTGCAACAATAAACAAAGCTGGCTCTTAAAATATACCATATGTTATGATTGTATCAGTCCTAAAAAGATAGGATTCGATGATACAGTTAAAAATACAGTCAATAATTGGGAATACATTATAGTCTTACAAGTCCTTAGTGTATTTAAATCAAAGGTTGAAGTTTTTCACGTCCAACAATATTAAATACCATTTAAGTGGAGTTGAAAAGCCTACACGTAGGAGTTAAATATCAAACTTCGTACTGGCCCCAAATGTTTGAACTACGAAGACGAATGATATCAATACTACTCCTCATGGAGTTCTCTTAAAAGTTGTTTTGGATATATTTTTCCAGTATTCACAATTGACTGATCACTGGGTGGTGATCAATTTCATGTATGTCATTTTCTTCTTAGTACAGATCGAATCCTATTGATCAAATTGTAATTTGGCCACTAGTCTAGGTAACTCGACATTACGTGCACTACATTGTGATAAGATGGTGATTGGAGTTAGTCATTAGGAAAACCTTAACCCAGGTTTTAATCGATCACTTATACATACACAAATAATATTGTAGATCACCAGCGTAGATGATCTATGTCGAATGATTGGGGGCCTATAAAAATTAGACGGGAATGGTGTGACGATCCAGCTAACGTCGAAGTCACACCTCGTGGTCAGCACCTTATGTGGATTGCCCCATCGATGTATCAAGATACTATAGATGCTTTGAAGACTGTACAACACAAATGACATTATTACAGAAACACATTAGTTAAAGTAGATACACGCGAAAGTAAGACCACCACCGTATGGGCCAGTTCATGGAGTACGATTAACTGATGTGCGTTGGTCGTTCTTGACCTTGACAGGTGATAGATGATTGATTCGATATTCAGTGACCCAACTGTAGAATGATTTGGCGAGGGCTTAGTGACATTTCACTGACCCTACAATGTGTATGAAATCAATGATTATTTCAGAAACAAAGTTTAATGTTTCATTTACAGATGATCTGAGGGTTGAGGGGTGGAACCTTGTTTTCTTATTGAAAAGAATAATAGAGGTAGTATTTACATATACTGGTAGAGTAATGAATAAATTAGAAAGACAAAATAATACTGATTATCAAATTGTTTTTCTCTCTTTTTTTCATAATGAACACTTGAACGGACAGAATTTAACTTAGTTAACTATTTATATTATTTTTCTATGTTGTCACCGTGTATAAATCAAAAATATAAACAAATTAGAAAACTGGTTATCTGTTTCTCCGCATATCTATCTATCTATCGGGAATGTTGTAGTGTCAGTTATTATATTAAGCCCATACACCTTATTCTGGCTTTCGGACATCCCATTCTATTCATTCTACTTGAGTCATACTTTGACCTTGTTATTTATTCGCTTATCAATCTAGACTGTTTTTATATGAGCGTATATGTGCATTCACATTTGCATCAGGTCCACCGTGTTCATCAATGATCCTGTCCAGATATGTAAAGGTGTTTACATTCTCCAAAGCTTCTCCGTCAATTGTGAATTGATTGGTGCATGTTGTGTTGTATCGGAGAATCTGGCTTTTCCGTTTATGTATATTGAGACCTACTGGTGCTGAGGCTGCTGTTACACTGGTCGTCTTCTCCTGCATTTGTTGTCACGTGTGAGACAGAAGAGCCGGATGACCAACTCAATGTGCATTTACCAATTTACCTGCTCTTGTGGAGCTAGGTATATAGGTCGTTCGATGCGTACTTTATCCAAAAGAATTCAAGAACATTGTCCGGCGTGGCTAAGAAGAGGAGGCAGCGGCTCAATAAGAAGTTCTATAATCGAACACAGGTCACTCAATCAAGACAGACTCTGAGTTCAAAGTCATCTACAAGGTAAGTAGAAGCCTTCCTAAGACAATTAGACTGCATCTTCTTTGCATTGCCGAGGCAATAGCCATACATTTTGAAAAACCAGAATTATGTGTACAAAAGAGACTGGTACAACCTCTTCTTTTACCATGGTCTTAATGTATTAAAATTCTTTTCTCTTTCTTCATACTCTTGTTCTTTTACAGTCACCTGCTTCACCTTCCATCTTCCCTTCAAATCTTGTACCCTCAACCGGTTTGTTTTTATTTCCACGATCATTCCGATTACATTTCATCTCTGTTTCAACATTTTTTGTTATTTTATCATGCTGAGCCATCCTTACCCGATGAATATCTAAGCCATCAACTATCAAACTTCCCTTGTTTTAAAAAATTTTTTTTCTAATACCTTTGTTTATTTAACCTCACTGTCACCATGTATAACAGAAGTTTATTATCAGTATTATTATCACCCTGTAAAATAAGTGTCCATATATGTGCGATTGTGCAGCTTTGAAAATGAATTCGCCGAAAAGAGAACTCTTCGCTGAACTAAAAATTTTCAAAATCTCCACAAACCCCTTTTGATAAAGGTCAGGATAATTTGGAGTGACAATCAGTAGAATAGTAAGTAATATAGCTAAGATGAAAATGCAAAAAAAGTTGTGTGAATAAAATGCATAGTTGGAGAATGTCAACTTGTCAATTGAGATAATAATAATAATAATATTGTTGTGTGAATATAATATGTTATAAGGGGTGATGTTGACAAGGTAATTACGATAAACGAATTGGGAATGATGGATGTAAAGATTAAGATTACTTACGTTAATTACACCTGTTACTCCTCGTCAAAGAGCATAGGCCGCTCACCAGCGTTCTCCATACAACCCTGTCCTGGGCAATCCTTTCCAACTCCTTCCACTTGTTATTCATCGTTTTCATATCTGCTTCTATTATCCGACGCAATGTGTTCTTTGGCCTTCCTCTTTTTCGCTTCCCTTCAGGAATCCAAGTTAGGGCTTGCCTCGTGATGCAGTTTGACGATTCGCGTAATGTATGTCCTATCCATTTCCATCGTCTTTTCCTAATTTCCTTTTCAGCTAGAAGCTGATTTGTCTCTCTCCCGCAGAAGGCTGTTGCCGATGGTATCCGGCCAATTGATGTTGAGTATCTTGCATAGACTGCTATTTATAAATACTTGTACTTTCTTGATGATGGTTGTAGTAGTTCTCCAAGTTTCAGCTCCATACAGTAGAACTAACTGTGTTGACGTTCGTATTGAAGACTGTGACTTTGATATTAGTTGACAGACAGTTGTTTTGAGTTTTATATGTTGTTCAATTGTAGGAATGCTATCCTTGCTTTGCCAATCCCCTCCTTTATGTCTGCAACTGATCCTCCTTGTTCATCGATGATGATGCCTCCCAGGTATGTGAAAGATTCTATATCTTCCAGATTTTCGCCATCATGTGTGATTGGATTGCTGTTTTCCATGTTGTATTTGAGGACCTTGCTATTTCCGTTGTATATGTCCAGGCCTACTGATGCAGAGACTGCTGCTAATCTGGCTGTCTTTATCTGCACTTGTTCATGTGTATGCGATAGGAGGACTAGGTCATCTGCGAAGTCCAAATTGTCTAATTGGTTCTGGGCTGCCGTGTTTTCCCTCAGATGTCGAGGTCTTCATAGTCCAGTCGACCACAAAGAATAAGATTGAGGTAATAAAAAAAGAAGGGGTTAAGAGATTTACAATATTCAGTTTAAGTATCCGAGCCAGGGTAAACATAGAGGCTGGATATACCTTTTTTGGATACATAGTTTGGTTTTCTAGAGTTGATCCAGATGGCTTCGGCTATGTAGAACAATCGTAGTCTAGCTCTTTAAGGTAAATATTTTAGAACTAAAGATAAAACAGAGAAAGTTTCTTCTATAACGATATGATGTTCACTAACTACTAAGTGAGAAAGAATAATGATGGTAATCGATTTAGTAACTCCTTTTCACAACCATCCTAGTACATCTTCATGAACACGTAAGGATAAATCCCTCTGAGTAAGGTTTATGTAACTAACTGTAGAGCCTGATAATTAAGTGATTGAAAACAATTGTTCGCTTAAATAATTTTTTTATTTTTGAATATTCTATTAGGATTTTTCAACTGCTAAACAATCATACCAAGTAGATTTAGCATTTCTAGGGTAAGCATAACTACACATAACTAGATATCATTTGAATAAAAATTATAACATTGTCTAATACTGTTTAATACTAAAATAAATCAATATGGATACTATTTATTGACATAATAAAGTAGATGTGAAAATGAATTATGGGTCTGGATAGAAACAATTTTATATTAAAATTATCTATGACATTCATAATTTTAAACAAACAAACAAAACAAAACAAGTGATTTAAACAAATCACCCAGCAACTAAAAATCTTTCTAATCATTGATTTTCTCTATTTAAATGAAATGTACCCAAGTGATAGATGCTTCTGTGACCGAAATATTGATGTAGCTCTTCAACAAGCTGATATCAAAAACCAAGACAACTTCATTGACGTTTGTTGTGGGTACACTACTCGAAAACCGATACCATGCAGATAATATAATATAGTCATGTTGAACAGAAACTTAATTCTTCCGTACGGTCTACATGGTAATCCGAAAATATCTGGGCGATATCTTATACATCTAAACTCAGAATACTACTGCCTTGCAACTTGTTTATCTCAATGGTTAGGTCGACAGTTGCCAGTAAAGTTGAGTGTGTGTGTGTGTGTAGTTGTCGTCACTTGTGTTAGAAGTCTGTGCAACCTTGGTTATTTCATAGTTGGTGAAATCTTGTTGTTATCGATTTCATTTTCATCAAGTTGATTCATCTTCCCCACAAGTGCTTGTTAAAAACAAAAACAGGTGTGCTGTTCAGTGTTTCGATCTGTACTGCATTACTAGTGTAGGGTGATTTCTTGGAATATAAACTATGTTTGCATTACAATAATCTGGTCAAAATTATCATGAAATCACTACCCGCGCATGTTGGAACCACTGAAGTAGTCCCGAAGTTAAGCAGATGCCACTGCTGTTTCCACAGCTTTTCTAATATCATTCCACGCTGCCTCGAAGTGAGCATCACTTACATGGCTGCCTAATTGTTTTCACGAAAAGCCAATGTAGTGCACAATGTTATGGGGCTTAAGTTAGTATGAAATAATAATCAGAAGCCCATGTAAACATTTGTTGTGCGAATAAAATATTTAGTGTAACTTGAATCATGAACTGGATTGGGAATAGAACTTGTAAATGAACAAACTATTTTTACGAATGCTTATTGTGAAATTCAAATCACTCTCTGATGTTGAACTTTCAATTTTTTTCTTTATAAGACAAATCTTTTTCGATGTTAACAGATGACTGTTGTCTAAAGTTGATCTCTTTAAGATATTCCGTTTGTATACATGTAGGCATGATTATTTCATATATTTGTCCAATGAAATGGTATATAACATAAACGTTGTAATAAGAGCAAGAAATAAACGTCTAGAAAAACAAAACCCCATTCTATTTGGTAGTAATGAATACATTCAGTGAGATAAAACCCACGGGCGCAGAAAACTTATACAATATACAATAAAACTACATAGCGCGGAGAAAAATAATAAACTACACTATCAGTTAACCAAAAGGAACATAATCATAAATGAATCTTTTCAAAGTTATTGCTTTTATTATCGTATCTAGAAATTCAAACTAACATCAATATTTAGGAAAGTAAAACAATTAACCGCAAAAAAAAATAATGTAGATAACTACAAAACTGACATCAGAACGTTTATTAGTGTAAAAAATGTCAGACTGCAGAGCGTAGATTCGCAAAGGAGTGTGTGTGTGTGTGAGAGAGAGAGAAGAGAGAGAGAGAGAGAAATAATATAATGGAGTACTTACATACAAATTCATTTTATTGTTTATTGTTTCTAAAAAGAAAGTAACTAAAGAACATCAAACGATAATCTGTTATTTATTAAAAGTAAATCACTCCAGTGTTAACGCATTTTATTCCACGGTAATTTTTAAAATGTTAACATCACAGAAAACAGCAGAGACATATTATCACAGTTACATATACTTCACGATAAATTAATTAGACCATGTTGTACAGAAGGTTTCTGGTTATTACCGTAATATTCATCCATCTCACCTTGTTCCCGAATATTATTTATTTCATACCGACGTTGTTCATCCTCCATATGTGCACAATATGAATAGATGCCATACAACACGCGTAATACAGCACTGCTATCGCCTGCAACAATTTCTTCAAGTTTTGCTGGAGGTTCAACCATACCAGCTGCTTGAATAAGTTCAAAGGCTAGTTTAACATTTGATGTACACAATTCTTCTGTTGTTGGTGTTGGATGATATGCATGAAATGCTACAAAATAGCCATCAATAAGATCCATTAAATAGAATAAGTAAGACACCATCTGTAAACTAATGATCGTAGAATGAATAAAATGGGAACATTTCCTTCAGTTAATTATAAAACTAAAGAAAATAGATTTTACAAAACTGTGTAACTCGAAAACCAACCAGAGAGTCGTACAATACACTAAGTTAAATTTATTAGGTTACAGATACATGTATCATCTGTATAAAAAAACTTTGGTGTGAACCAATAACATCAGTCAATCAGTCAGTCAGTCGGCTACAACGTAGGACCAGGCACATATATGCATCAATCCAAGTTGCCATACCGCATTAGCACAGCAAGATGAACACCGGATTCATAGGAGTAGTTAAGTCAATAGTGGCAATATATGAAAGATTGCATATAAGGATATAGTACAGGAAGAAAGATTTAGTACACAGAAAGGAAGATATGAAGCGATTTTAATCTCTTAGTTTAAGGGAAGACAGACAGTGTATACACCGACGCCACTGTGATCGATTCTGAGCCATCTCACCAAGAGTCTACAACCATTGGTTACGATAGTCACGTGGACCCTAACTGAGTAGTCTGCATCTACCAACATGGCTCAGACCAGATGTTAGTGTCTTCAAGCACTAATGCCACGTTTTGGTTTGGCCACCCCTAACTTTCTTCCAACCATCCCCAACACCCGTTAGCATTGCACGTCGTGGTAATCGGTGTTCAGGCACACTCAACACGTAGCCCAACCATCTCAGTCGATGAAGACTCACAACCTCATCAACTGATTTACCATACCCTATCTAACCTCACTGTTACTTACCCGGTGATACCAGCAGATGCAAGCAATATTTCTAAGACATCTGTTTACTTATTTATTTATTTAAACATATAAACATTAGTACAAGGAGGCACCAAGTAGATATGCGTCATAATGTCACACCAACATCAATGGTGGTCGGCGAAAAGTTTCACAACAGCGATCATAAAATAGTCCTCTGCACCATTCCGATTCTTGCCATATGCAACAAATTAAAGACATTAAACACGCGATTCCAATATAGAGACTATGCAAACGCTGACTGCGAAAACTTTCGATTTCTAATAAAGCACTCTGACTGGGGCAGTTTCTTTACCAGTAATAACCTCTTAGAAACATTAGAAATATTCAATATCACCACCAAATCTGCACTAGACACTACTATACCCTCTAAAATTGGTTTTAAAACAATTACTCCCTATGTAAACTAAAGGACTAGGTCTAAACTACGAAAACCGAAAAGGATGTACTATATATCAAAAGACTTCAGTGCCCTGCACCAGATATACTCTGTACTTGACGGAGTACAAAGTCAACACAACAAGCATAAACAGGTAGAGGAACGTACTGCGCTCGCTGCTGCATCTAAAGCCCAAGCCCTATGTCGTCTCCTCACGAAACGCATAAGAAAGAACACAGACCACAACATTCACTCCTTACTGCACGATGGAGTAACGTATAATGACCAAACCGTCATATGTGAACTATTAAGTGAATGGTTTCCTCACAATCGGAATACATCTGATGCTCCAGATATCGACATAAAGTGCACCGGCAAAAACTATCTTAGTACCATAAACTTCGACATTAGGAGTATACATACCGCCATTAAAACCCTTAAGCCAAATGCGAGTTCTGGTGCCGATGACATCCCTTCAATCGTTTATAAAATGTCAGGACCGGACATACAGACGCTACTACTCAAAATATACACATTATCTTTAGAGACAGGTACATATCCGGAAACCTGGAAGGTAACGTATGTTCTTCCCAAACACAAATCCGGACCGAGAAACCTGGTTGAAAACTACAGACCTATAAATATCACTCCAGTCATATCACGCATAATGGAAAAAGTGATACAAAATCAACTATCTGATCACCTACTCAAGGAACATCTAATAGACCCGTCACAACACGGCTTCATTAGAACAAGGTCGTGCAGTACATGCCTGATAGACTTCTTTAACGAGGTTACTCGTATACGTGACCAGAAGAAACTAGTTATCATACTATACCTCGATATTAAGAAACCCTTTGATAAAGTACTTCATAATCTTCTAATCAACAGACTTAAGTCAGTTGCAATTATAAATCCCCTTTTGCAATGGATCAAGTCTTTCCTTACGAACAGATATCAAATAAATAACATTAACTCTAAAACATCTACACCTCGACCAATAACCAGTGGTGTTGTGCAGGGTAGTGTCTTGGGTCCATTGCTCTTTATAATCTACATCAACAATATATGCAAGTGTTTTAGCACAGGTAAGACCTACCTCTATGCCGATGACTTAAAAGTCATCTATAAAACTGACATTTGCGATTTACGCAGTACTATGCAAACAATCCAACATGAACTCAACATGGTAGACAACTGGTGCAAACGCTGGAGGTTAGAGTTCAACACAGAGAAATGAGGCTGGTTATGTATAGGAGACACATCTCTTAAAATGAAACACTCAGCAATCACACACTGCCCAGACTGGCATCAGTAACTGACCTAGGGGTACATTACTCACACAGTCTTAATATCTCTGAACACATCTCAGCCAAAGCATCCAAAATGCGGAAATCCCTTGGCTTTATTCTCCGTAATTTCTATCAAAATGAATCTAAAATCCTTCTTTACAACAACTATCCTACAATATACCCTTCTTAACGCTTATACTCCGATTGGCAAACTATACTTTATACTATAGTCAACAGAGGCACTGCATCGATGCTTTACCCACAGTCCATAGCTTGTAACTGCCTGATAAGCTTGTAAAATGGTACTAATAGAAATAGTGCTTTCCAACAGGTTGTGAAACAGAGGATTGTGTGAGGTATGACGTATATACAAAAATAAGCCTAAATGAGCCTAACATTACAAAAGGAGGGAGGGTGGAGTTACTGACCAGCAAGCATTGATGGTGAGGGCGATAACTTTAATCCACCCGTGTTTGTGGGGACAGAACATTTTGTATGTATCAGGCTCCTCATGATTGAGAATAAGTCAGTCAATCTGTGATATAAATTGTCTTCCTACGCTCACCACTCAGACTCATGTTTCCAATATTATGCTGGATTAGCTATTCTACTAAGACAACCTATAACATGCTAACTCGAACTTTCACACTAGGATTGTGTAGCTGGCATCGGACAGACGAAAAAATAAAAAAAATTAGACAACAAAATATATAGTCATTAGTATTCTTAACACTTCACCCTCTATATACACACCCTCCTAATAAACCGCTTCCCTTGTACCAACCTTGACTTCCCTTCCTTCATGTGAGCTTACTCCAACTTGTTAAACGACACAACTCATTGTTCTTCATTAGTACATTCTCTAATATGGAGCCTCTGACTTCACTTCATTCTAACAAGACATAATATGAATTTATTCTAATTTATTATACCTCTGCCCGTTCTACTACACAATGTTAAGCAACGTTTGGCGTTCATATCCAAGTGCCTTGCTGCTCTTCTGTTTCTCTTTTTTTTCTTCAGAATCTTGCTCTGAGAGCACAGCTATGAAACTTCTGACGTTTGGAACAAACTTGACGTACGCGTCCTCTCAAGGTCATAGTTTACAGCAAGCGCTCTACGATATCAAATGTTCAAATGGTTCAAATGGTTGTGGACGGAATAGAAGAAGCTTTCGCTTAACAGGCTTCCGTGTCTAGTAGCAGGGGATCACCAAATCCTCCAGGCAGGAACCTAGGTATGTTAACAATAAAAGAGGAAAAGAGATTGGTAAATCATAATGTGATGCTGTTCTTGGTCCTTAAGAATAGGTCAAGTTGCCTCTTGAAGGACTCCTGAGAAGTCGCTTGGACTAGCTCGGCTGGCAGCGAATTCCAGCTTTTGACAACTCTTAAGGAGTAGAAATTGTGTCTACATTCCGTCTTGCTATGTTGTGTTTCCAGTTTCTGGGTGTTACCCCTTAGGTTGTTATTCGAACTAAGCTTAAGTAGGTGTTCAAGAGGATGTCCAGAAGTGTTAAGAATACTATAAGCCATTAATAAATCACCTCTAAGACGCCTATATTCTAGTGGGTAAAGGTCTAGTGAACGGAGGCGTTCTTCGTAAGGCTTAGATTTGAGTCCTCGAACTGATTTCGTGGCTCGCCGCTGGATACGCTCCAAAGTGACCTTGTCCTTTTGGAGTGAGGGGGGAGTACTATGTTTCCGTACTCTAAATGGGGACGGATGAAACTATTGAAGATTGTGTGGAAAGTTCTTCCGCAGTCAGCAGGTTGGTTATACAAGAGTAACCCTTCCTCAAACCATGCTGTTGGGGTGAGAAGAAATTTAAGGACAGTAGATAGTCATTTAAACCGTCGCATATCAGGGACTCCATGAGTTTTGAAGGTAATGACAGAAGAGCCACCGGCCGATAACTTGAAGGTTCATTGCGTCGACCACCTTTGAAAATTGGTGTGATGTGAGCCAACTTCCAATTTTCCGGTAATTTGCCTCGGCTAAGCGAGTGAGAAAACATCACGCTGAGCGGCGTTGCCAGGATTGAGGCTGCCTCCCTCAGTATGGCAGGATGATCCGTATCCGGGCCAGGAGAAGTGTCTAGTCTCATGTGCTGCAATTTCCGGAACACCAAGTCAGCGCTTAGGTCCACTTCAGAAAGTCCTGTGGAATTGCAGATGAAACTGTCGTCAGTAAAGTTGATGTCAGCCGGCTGAAATGTTTGAGAGTAATGTGCCGCCAGAAGGTTAGCGGCGTCGCCGTCATTGTTCGTCGGGCCGTTAAGACCTACCAGTTGAGAAACTCCTGTTTTGGCTTGACGGAGAGGCTGCATAACGGAATAAGCTTCTAGGGTTAGAGGCGAATTTGTCCATAAGCTTTGTTTGGTACAGAAGCCTGTCTTCTCTTATAGCCTTCGTGCATATGTTCCTGATATGTTTATATTGCCTATACGCTCCATCGTTATTAGTTCGTTTGTATTCCGCCCAGCAGTGCCTTTTGCGGCTTAGCAGGCGAAGGGTACGGTTCTTGATTACTGTAGGTGGCTTGCAGCTTTTGGGAACCGTTTGAGGAACTGAATGGTCTGTAGCACATAAGAGCGTGTGCAGTAAGAAGTCCCAATGACCATCCACATCGAGTTGAGGGTGAACATCCCAAACCACCTGTTGTAGATTGTAACGACCGAACAGCCAATATCCGGTTGGAACAACGGACTGACGAACCCAAAATTTATTCGATTAGACCAGACCAAGTTCCTCTGTATAGCCCACAACGCGTCTTTGAGATACTCGTATTATATTATATCAAAACACAAACTCTGTGCTCAATATAAACGGTTCTAACTAAGAAAACAGAACAAATTACATCAAAAATACAAAATACCTCAAACGGTACAGCCTGTGCTATACAGTCAGAAGTTTCTCTAACGCAAAGTAGCGCGCTAAACAATGAAAGAGACAGTTAATACTAAAGGGTTTGATACCTGAGAATCAATACAAATATTCCCAATAAGATGGGATCAAATATCTATCTGCAGGGATTGCAGCAATTCTCCCAAGCAGACAGTCAGAAGGTTAACAGTCACAAAATGAACCACGCCGTGACCTTGAGCTTAGTCAAACACAACCTTACTGTCAATGGTCCGGCAACATGCAATAGAAAATTAGGTAACAAAAAATAAGTCTTTAATCAAAATCACATAATAAAGGCTTAAACGGGGAGACTGAAGAACAAAAGACATGGTTAAACGAGATCGAAACAAAGGTTGGAATACACAAAAGGGAGAAGGAACAAATAAATGAAAATACTGTTCAACAAAGAAGCTGCAGAGGGATTTTTACTGTTCTCTTTCTGTTACACCGGCCCCCAAAATCCCTCCAGCTACGCAAAGACACCTTAGAATACATTTCTGTCATGGCTCTCCTTACTAACTGCTCTATATCAATGGGAGGCACAGGACTTACAACAGTACGCCTGTACATCCATAAACCTAAGCTACAATCTACAATTACTCGGCTCCCTCTAGAAGGCAGAGCTTTCGCACATCTCTTCTTACTACACCTTCTCTCATTCGCACCATCACTGTTCTTACCAATCCATCTCTATCTGTCTCGCACTTATCAACCCGTCCCATTGGCCATGAACCCCGAGTAGTTGCATCGTTAGCCACTAGAACTACATCGCCTTCTTTTAAGTTTCTGTGTTTGCAAAACCATTTCTGCCTCACTTGCAGTAAAGGAATGTACTCTTTTATCCATCGACGCCAGAAGGTATTGGCTAAACAATTGACCTGTCTCCATCGCTTTGAATACCTATCCGCAACACTACACTCCACTCCTAAACCATCACAGTCTCTTAGTAATAACAAAGTGTTTGGCGTGAGCGCCAAATCATCCTTTTCATCTGACGTCACAGGAACGATTGGGCGGTTGTTTAAAATTCGTTCTACCTCCACAAAATAAGTTGCCAAACTATCATCGTGTAATATTTGCCCGTTGGAAATAGATAGTAAGATCCTCCTAACAGACCGTATTAATCTCTCCCAAACTCCGCCTCGATGGCTAGCTAGTGGGGGGTTGAAATGCCAGTGTATACCCTTCGATACTGTTAAGTCGTTTATTTTATGCTTGTCCCACACACTCATACTAGCCCGTAATTCGGAAGTAGCCCCGACAAAGTTAGTTCCATTGTCGCTATAGATTTCCTTAGGAGTTCCTCTCCTCCCTATGAAACGTATTAAGGCCATTATAAAAGCATCAGTACTCAAATTGAAAGCTACTTCCAAATGTACGGCACGTGTTTGGAGACACGTAAATAGGCATCCATATCTTTTTTCCTCACTTCTTCCCCGACGAACTATCAACGGCCCAAAATAGTCTATCCCGACGGAGGAGAAGCAAAACCAGCCTTGCTGCACTCGACACTTGGGGAGAGGTGCCATCATCTGTTGGCCTAATGTGGCTTTCGCGCGTATACACCTCACACATCTACCTATCACTCGTTTAACTGCACTGGTTCCTTTAACAATCCAATAATTTCTTCGTATGGTAGCTAACACTTGTGATGTCCCGGTGTGACCTTCTAGGTGGTGATGGTGTCTAATAATAAGTTCTGTTACGGAGTGATGACTGGGTAAAATTACCGGATGTCTGATTGAGAGTGGATAATCCGAGTAATTTAATCGTCCGCCGACACAAAGCAATCCATCGATTAGCGTAGGTGAAAGATTTTTTAGCTCTTTTATATCAGTTGCGCTTACGCCATTGCATCGAGACACTTTTACTGCTTCCCCATACACTTCCTTTTGCACTAAGGCTAATATCTTGTGTTTAGCTGCATCCAATTCATCAACTGACAGATAGCCCACACTTAGGGACCTGTCCTTGTGATGGGAGTACATGATGGTTATATAGGTCACGTATCTTCTGAGCCATGCTACCGCTTTAATCAGCTTTATCCAATTTGAGTGATATAGCAGAATTGGACTTAAGCTATGTTTTAGCGCAACTGCGTTGGTCGTGTGACATCTTTTAAATTCAACATTTTCTGGGGGGTTTTCGCACATAAGCGTTAGTGTTCCTACAGACTCCCTCTTCCTTAAGAAGGAAGGACCCTTAATCCAGTTCCTTAAATCTAGCTCCTTCCGTATGCCTCGTGATGTCCAGTCAGCAGGATTTTCATTGGACTCTACGTGCCCCCACTGGTCCACAGATGTTAAATGATGAATAGCGGCCAGGCGATTAGCCACGAAGGTGGAATACCTACTATCTGTATTTTTTATATAGTACAGTACTATCATAGAATCCGTCCAGAAGTGAGTCTTGTCAAACACCTGAGGAAGGTTCCTATTTAAAACTTCCCCTATTCTAGCACTCAATACTGCCGCTGCTAGTTCCAGTCTAGGCACAGTCACCTGTTTTATAGGTGCCACTCTAGACTTACTATAGAGTAGAACGCTGTATGGTGCTTGGTGCTTAGGGATGTTCCACGAGTAAGCTACCGCACCGTAACCAGATTCAGAGGCGTCACAAAATGAATGCAGCTCAATCGCCTTAAAGTTCTTTCTGTTTTCATTTATAATGCTTCGAGGAACACTGATCGTTCCGAGCCTCCGCACAAACGTGACCCATTCGTTCCACGAGGACATAACACTATCACTCGGAGGCTGGTCCCAACCGATACGCGTTTTACAAAGATTCCGTAAGAGTTGTTTGGCAGGAAGGTATATTGGAGCTATCAGTCCCAGTGGATCGAAAAGAGATGAAATGGTGGATAGTATTCCTCTCCTAGTCGGAGTTTTTTCTCCTGGATCAAAACGAAAATTAAAAACATCGTGTGTGGTGTCCCATTCAATCCCGAGGGCTCGATGTGTCCGCCCTTGATTCAGAGACATATCAACAATAGCTTCCATACTATTAGATTGCGGAAAAACTTTCCTTACAATTTCCGAGTTAGTCACCCATTTTTTCAACTTGAAACCTCCTC